ATGTTTCCCTCCATTCAGAATGCCTCAGTCTCATTATACGCCTATTGATTCAAGGAAAGCTACCTGCTCATTTCCGTCTCGATACTGTGCAGTCTTGGTAAGACAGAGTTAGGGACTGTTATTTATTCACTAGCCTCAGTACAACTCTCAGAAACTCAAGGTGGTTCTTGTAAATTTTTTAACTCAGATTTAGGGTCCTGAGGAATAATAATTGGGTATAAATTTTAATATACTTGTAATATATTTATGTTTTCAATGTCTAGTGCACTGTGTTTAGAGTCTCCACGGTATAGGTGTAGTATGTATCCAGGCCCGGTTTTCAGCATTTTGAGACATGAGTTATTTGAATAAAGATATTGCAATTACAATGATTAACACAAAGACAGTTTTAGTACTTGTCTGCAAAATACAATTAGTTAATTTCTACAGAGGCATCGATTAATTTCTAGATGCTGTTCCTAAAATTAGAAATATTTGGTACCTAATACAAAAATATTATAATAGGTAATGAGATGAAGTATGCTAATAATAACAAAAATTCTGTCTTGGGCTAAACCACCTCAGATTCTACACCTGGGAAATGATTTTATTATTGTTGGTGATCAGTATAATTAACACAACTGCCATAAACTAGCAACATAGAGGGAATTTTTGCATTCATATTTTACATGATAAGGATTTAGTATTCTATGTTAATAACTACTTTTGAATGGGATTATTCATCATCATTTAAATGCAAGGCCATTGCTACTGAAAAACACAATGTGGCTAATTATTCACTCGTATAGGAGGTTTGATTATTTTTTTAAACCAAAATTTTGCAGTTTATAAACATGGTACATAAAGCTCTGACCTTCCTTTCTGAAACCTTTGGGTCCCAGGGCAATGATAAACCTCCTGAATGTCAAATGCTCATTGCCAAATACAGATTGCCCAAGTGTGTGGGGGTAGCTTCCACCAGCTGGGCTGTGAGCACTTTTTCAAGAGATCCAGCACTTTGAGTCCTCAGCCAGGGGCAGAGCCAATGGGCACTGTGCAGCTGCAGCTGACTGCTTGTGCACCAGGCTTTTGAAGATGGCATTGAGGTGGATAGGCAAAAGTAATTCCAGCTGCTTCCCTTGGAGAGAACAAGTGAGGACCTGGAAAGGCCTGCTCCCAGACAGGAAGCAGAAAACTTCATGGAGAGCTGTAAGCCCAGAGGTCTTGTCCAGATCACATGGTCAGAGTATGTGGAGTTATAGGAAGCAGACTCCAGGAAACCTCCGTTTCAGGCTTTTTGCTGTCATCCTTGGCCTTCACATCACCCTGGCATCAGACTGCCCAAGCTGTTCTGTTTAGAAGATGCCTTGGGCCTCCTAAGCCAATCTCGTCCTTCAGTTTCAGTTTGTAGCAGAACCTCTGCTTGTCCCTTGGCACTGGCCTTTGTTTTCCACATGTGTTGTCCTGGCCAGTTTCTGCCATCAGTAAAGTTCTTTTCATCGAGTCATAAATCTAACAGAGGGAACAAACACACAAAACAAAACCCACACAGTTTAAGTTCATAAATTTGTGTTGGATGGGAGTGAAGGGAAGGAAGGTTGATTCAAATTTGGAAAACATTTAATTCAGTAGATATTTGTTGATTAACTTCTGTGTTTTGCCCTGTGCTACGAGCTAAGGAGGTTGCAGTTGTCCCTTCTTTCAGAATTAATACTCTTGGGTTAAACAGTCTCTTTTTCCAAAGTAAAACTGACTTCTACTCTAGGGGAGACATTTCTGGACCTGCTGCTTAGCTGTTCTTGGGCGTGTAGAGTGGGGATGAAGGGGGGCATTGATGTCTTTCTTAGTGACTCATTTGATGATTACTCCATTGTTTGAAGGGCTGGATGTTACATAATCAACACTTTATCCCCTCCCCCAACTCTCCCTAACAATCTGGGATTTTCCATCATTTTGTCAACCTTCCTGGAGGCATGTTGATTTTTCCACTAGATTTTTTTGGGCATGTCCCAGGGCAACCCAAACTCTCCACTGTCTAGAACTTCAGATTCCTGCTCACTGGCAGGGCCTGGGAGAGCAGCTGCTGTGAACTCTGCGCTTCCAGCGTGGAGGCTGGACTCTAAGCCGTTTCCTGACAGCATCGCCCAAAGCAGACTGGAGAGAAAGTGCTGCCTGCCTTTATTTTTTATAATGTAATTTCCATTCATTTTGACTGTTCAGAAGCCATGTATTTCCTCCTTTTTTCAGAGGTCACCAACTGTCATCTCTTCCCTTACATGTTTCCATTTTATTCAGCCAATAACACATTATGCATGTCCGTGGAGTTTTTTGACTCGTTAGGGTTTAGAAGTGGCTGGTTGAGGAACTTCTATGGTAACCATGCCTGGACCTCAGCCATTTTGTAAGTCAGTTTCACATGATACCCTGAAGGTACAAGGTGAGGAAGTGGGCTTCTGGAGAGTACTGCAGTAAAGTGTATCACTGCCCGAAGGTCACGGGTTGACTAGTAGGAATGCTCAGGTCATTTCTTTGCCTATTAGCTTTTTGTGGGAAATTGTGCCTGAGGTGAATTCAGAGGATTTTAAACTTGAGCCATGTTTATATATCTTTTCTTGGAACATGGTCTGCTAGTATAAGCAGAATTGGACATAACAGAGATAAAGATATATGTGGATATAGCAAAGGGTGACACATTTGTGAATCTGTAGATTTTGATGCCTCATTCTTCTTTACTACCTACATAAGTCAAATTTTATAGATATTACCTCCTATATGTACTTCAAATTTGGTTACCTTCCTAATTAAAGCCACCATCATCTCTCACCTCAACTAATGCAATAACTTTTTGACAAGTCTACCCACATGCGCTCATAGTTACTTCCTAAACAGAACAGGTATGGTTATCTTTTTTCCCCCCATTTTTTTGGTTAAATAATTTTATTATGGTAAAATAAATATAAAAGTTACCATCAACCATTTTTAAGTTTACAGTTATGTGGCATTAAATACATTCATAATGTACAACTACCACCAGCATCCATCTCCAGAATGCTTTTCATCTTGTAAAACTGAAACTTTGTCCCCATTAAACAACTCTCCCTTCCTCTGGGCGCCGGCAACTATCATTCTACTTTCCGTGTCTATGAATTTGACTATTCTAACTTCCTCATATAGTTTGTCTTGTTGTGACTGGCTTATTTCATTTAGCATAACGTGAAGGTTCATTCATATTGTAGTATATGTCAGAATTTCCTTCTTTTTTAAGGCTGAGTAATATTGCATTGTATGTATATACTACACTTTTGCTTACCCATTCATCTGTTGATGGAAACTTAGGTTGCCTCTGTATTTTATATATTGTGAATAATGCTGCTATGAACATAAGCTTACAAATATCCTTTTGAGACCCTGCTTTTAACTCTTTGGGGTATATAGAGAACTCCTAAAACTCAATACCAACAACAAACCCAAACAACTCTGTTAAAATATGAGCAAAATACTTGAAGAGACATTCCTTCAAAGAAGATACGCAAATGTCCAATAAGAACATGGAAAGATGCTCAACATCATTAATTATTAGGGAAATACAAGTCAAAACTACAGTGTGATACCACTTTACATCCATTAGGTTGGCTACTATCCAAAATTGTCCCCCAACCCCCCAAAAACAGAAAGCAACAAGTGTTGGCAAGGATGTGAACCTTGTGCACTGTTGGTGGGAATGTGACATCATGCAAGCACTTTGAGGATAACAGTAGAGCAGTTCTTTGAAAAATAAAAAATCAAATTACCGTAGGTGATCTTAAAACAGAATGTAGTCATGTCATTTCTCTGCATAAAACTCTCAATGACTCTCTGTTCTACTTAAGTTAAAATGATGATTTCTTTAATATACTCCTTCTTTACATTTTCAACCTCATCTCAAACAACTGTTCTCCTGTCACTGCTCCAGCTGTATTGATCTTTTAGATACTAAAACAGGCCAAGTTTCCCCTCCTCCTGCCATTTCATGACCTTCATTTATGCCATTCCCTGTATCTAGGATTATGGTCCTCTCACTTTTGTGGTCATCACAATCACCTGGATTCTGTGTTAAAAACACAGATTTCTGGGATCCACATTCACCCCTGCCGCAGAAGTCCTGATTCAGGAGTGCTGGAGAGGGCCAGGGAATTTGCATTTCCAGCAATTTCCAGGTGATGCTGATGCAGCTGGCCTGAGGACCACAGTTTGAGAATCATTGGTGTAGAGTATTTTTCTTTTTAAAACTCTTATGCAACCTTTAGATCTCAAATCAAACATCTCTTTTCTAGGGGAAGCCTTCTCTGATTTCTCCTGACCAGTAGGAATTCCTGATATATGTTAACATTTTATCTTTTACTGCTCCTCTGAAGCCCTTATTGACATTTTTGAACATTTAATTGTGTAAATAGTTTTTAATGACTGTATCTCTTGCCAGAATCTGATCTTCAGCTCCACGAGGGTAGGAGTCATTTCTGTCTTGTTCACTGCTGTCTGTAATTCTTTGCACATAGCAAGTGGTAAATAATTATTTGTTGAATGAATTAATGTTGTTATTTCCTTTTCATAGGTAATTGGAAGTATGTCGTAACATTAATGCTCTCAGTAAATGTGAAGGTTGAATTAGTAGAGCTATGCAGAAAGAATAAACACATTTTATTTATCAGGGATGTAGGACATTCTAGGCAAGGGTCAGGTTTTTTTGCTTGTTTGTTTTTTTGTTACAGGGACTAGCACACTGTGGAAAGCCCCCCAAATTTTACCTGCCTTGGTGAGGATGTTAGTACAGTTATTTCCCAGCTTACCTTCTTCAGACCATTCATGCCCTATTATATTTTATGGCTGGCTAATTATCTAGTCATTTTTATATTGAGAGATAATGCATATAACATCATACTAGTTTTAGATGTACAACATAATGATTTGATATTTGTATACATTGCAGAATGACTCATTACTTATTTAGTTTTTATTATTCATATAATTTTTTTTCCTCACAGATATGGAATGTGCAGATGTCCCACTCTTAACTCCAAGCAGCAAGGAAATGATGTCTCAAGCATTGAAAGCTACTTTCAGCGGTTTTTCGAAAGAGCAGCAAAGACTGGGAATTCCAAAAGGTATGTTTTGTCCTCGGGAAAGAAAGGATAAGATCAGACTTTTAGGTAGGGTTAGTTTTCTCACCTGCAGTGTGAGATAGATGTAATCACTAACCACACTACAGTCAGCAGCGACAGGTCATTGTGGATGTCTGTTAGAACAACCACCGACACATGCTAATGCTTCTTCATTCCCCGGGATTGTCACTGCCATCTTGGTCTGAGGGCGGTGGTTCTCAAACCTGTTTGCACATTACATTCAGGATCTTCAAAAAATTCTCCAGCCCAGACCATGTCCCAGATCAGTTAAGTCACAATCGTTAGTAATATCAGTAACTTTGAAGCTCCTCAGGTGATTCCTAACTACACGCAACTTAGAAAAAACACAGCCTTCGAGTCATTCTGGGCTGCTATTGGATGAACTTAGTGAGCTCCATTTCTTGGAATTTACTGATTGCTTTTTTTTTTTCCCATGTACTTTGGTAAAATGTGTTTATTCTTGGGTGTTCTCATCTGAAAGGGTTTATTCAGGAATGTAAGGGGACTAGAGTTGTCAGAAAGGAGAAATGACCGGAGAACACTTAAGCCTTCACCAAGCAACATTTCCTGAATAGTTGAGAGGAGGAAGAACACTGTGCTATTGAGTAAGAGTAATGCTGTCTTTAAACCAGCCCAGAGAAGCTTCCAGCCCTGTCAGAACCAAGCCTTAGATGGATCCTATGAATGTTTCTATATACCTTTTCCCAAGTATACTAACTCTACCACAAACCTCCACCATCAGAAATGCCCAACATCCTTTTAGGATTACAAGGAAGGATAAAGTGAATTCTGACCAACATCTCATAAAGTCACCTGCTAGATTGAAGGGGGTAATCTTGAGAGCAGGTGTGATGTGGGCACCGCAGCCTGCCATCATCTGAGCTTTTTAAGTGTCGTGGCTAGTGCAGTTATGTTAAACCTCAGGCCATGCGTGAAGATCATGTAGTATTTCCTCTTCAGTGCTAGTCAGCAGAGAGCTGCTGATATGTATATACTTTTTTTAAAGTATAATACAGGCACCTAGTAATGTTGTTATTAATAAGTTCTATTTGACTGACTATTACTAATTGCTGTGATGATTATCAACCATAATTAGCTAAGATAAAAATAATTAAGAATAATGGTCTCAAGTAGATTATGAGAGTTAAGAGTAGGTAAGTGCAACTTCCATTTGTTCCTTATCCCAGGCTTTAAAAAAATGTCTAATGGAAATAAGGCAGTGAGAGAGGAGATTCATGAACTCTTTGTCCGAATGGAGGGTAGAGAATACGCATTTACTTTTTAGCTGATGATAGTGATCTCCTAGTTGGCAAGATAGAGAAGGTGGGGAGGTCAAATGTGGGTAAGAGGAAGGTGCTCCATGATGTGCTTCAGCTAAGTTGAGATCCTTCAGTGTCCTCCCTGAGGCTTGGGTAAAAGTTTAGAGCCTGACCTACCAGATCTTATTTTGATCTCTTCCCTTAGACCCCCGGCAGTGGACAGAAACCCATGTTCGGGATTGGGTGATGTGGGCTGTGAATGAGTTCAGCCTGAAGGGTGTGGACTTCCAGAAGTTCTGTATGAACGGAGCCTCTCTCTGTGCACTGGGGAAAGACTGCTTTCTCGAGCTGGCCCCAGACTTCGTTGGGGACATCTTGTGGGAACATCTCGAGATCCTGCAGAAAGGTAAATGTGTGGGCATAGAGAGAGGCAGGAGCTGTGTGGGTTAGCTCCACGAGTGAGTAAGGGAATGTACCCAATGATGGGACATCGATGCAATCATCTGTGGGTGTCCTTTCACAGCACATATAGTCTAATGAGACATACCAGTACAGTACCTGACATATAACAGGTGGTCAATAAAGGTTAGTTTCTTTTTTCTTTCATGTATTGGAGGTTCAGATTTTGATCTTTAGCAAGATTGTATTCCTGAAGCTTTTTGGTATGCAAAATTCTGATCCCAGTCCTTATCTTAGATTCATGTACTATTTTAATCAGCAGTGCCCACAGCTAGCTCCAAGATTGTTTTTTTTTTTTTTTTTCTGTCAATCTTAATGCATACTCTCTTAATCCATGGCAATGTGGTACCTGGCCATTCCTACCAGAAAGCTTAGTTTCTCAGAGCTTATTAATAAGACAGGCTTCTCAGCTCACTAGCTGGATTGGAATTGTAGTAGTGTGGTATACCTTTTTCATCTGGAGCAGAAACTGGGGTTATGTCAGGACGCTGTGTTGCAACCTTGTAATGACATGGCCTTCCCTACCAGCCTCTTCCAACCTTTTTGGACCAAGTGACTCATGTACCACAGTCCTGGCTGAGTATAGAAACAGCAGCAGGCGGCAAACTTGGGTGTTTTTGCGCTTATTTTTCTGAATTTCTTCTTAAAATAAATTGCAGTTACCAGCAGTCAGCAGTGCCCTCCAGCTGACTGTAAGCCTAGAAGCCCGTTGCCCTCTCTGACCCAGGCCCACCCTTTCTCTGTGGTCACTAGCTCCAACCCTTGGCGCAGACACTGGGGGCAGGGAGCAAAGCTCAGGATTAGCACTTTATTCCATATAATACCTTCCTTTGTTTAAGGATATTTTGCACTCTGCAGTGCTCAAGAGGGACCTAAATTAGATTTCTCTGGGCACAGAAGTGTTATCTTTCTTCCTTCTCTTCAGCTTCTGCTAAAAAATAAATAAATAAACACAGTCAGGAACTAGGTGACTCTTGCTGTGGCTGCCCAGGCCGAGGACCGCGGGGCAGCTGCACAGCCTTCCCCGAAACACTGACATGTCTTCCATGTAACTGCACAAACACCTACTCATACGTGTTGATCTGAGCAACCTGTTTACAGAGGGAAAAGATATGGCAGGCTCATAACAGGTCTGATGTGACTATTGGCTTATAAACACAGCAGTGGATCCTACCAGACCGTGCAACCCAAATATCTTCTGCTAATACACTGTTTCTCTCTATTTATCACCATGGAGTGCCCAGGGGTTCTGGAGTGTCTAAGCCTGCTTTTTAACATAGTCAGAATTAATATCTATAAAGCATCTTCTTATTTTCAGAGTGCTTTAAAATATATCTTCCCTTTGGATTCTCACAACAGCCCTGTGAGATAGAAGGGGCAAGTACTATGAGTGTCCCCATCTGTAAAGTGAGGACAGCCTAGATTATTGACTCATTTCCTAGGTCTTTTCAATTTCACTTTTTTCCCTATGTTCTTTGTATGATAATATGGACTCACGGGGGAGCTTCTGGTTCCCGATTCAGCTTTGGCTTACCTTTCTGCAAAGGAATAATTTAAGAGAACTTAGGAGCATGGGAAATAATTGAGTATCTTCGAGAACAAAGTCATGCCATCCCACCCATGTTCTTTTGAAAGAGGCAGTTGAGGATCATCTCTCTTCAGATCCTTGAAGAGCTGAGCGAGATGTTTGTATTGAGGCTACAGCTTTCGTTCTGTAATTAAACTAAAGCAACACAGCACGAGAAGAACATAGCTGCTTGGGGTGGAGTAGAAGGCCAAAGGTGCAGGGGGTGTTTCAATCTGATAAGCTCCTAAAGCAAAGTTTAATCATTTTATCTCAGCTGGGAACTGTTTTTCTGTGCAGGCATAAACTTGTTTTCCCAGCAGCCTCTGCTCCCAACAAGCTATCAGATACCTGAGGAAAAACCCAAACCAACATTCTCTCTTTGTCTGATTCTGACAGTGAAATGGAATCAGACTATTCCATACAATGGTCAGAGGCCAGACAATTTGATTCCAGGGCAACTGGAGGATCTACAGAGCTCACCTTAGTTCAGCGGCAGCCTTTCTAGTTACCTCCGTCTGCATTCCTTTCTCATTCCTGGGGAAGTTGGCACCTGCTAGCAGTTTGGTTATGTTGCTCTTCTCTGTTTTTGCATGAGCCCTATCTTATTTCACCAATAGTTACCTTACCAGTGTTCTGCTTCTTATCTGGTCCTGAACTTGAAATCTGAGGGCAATGGAAAAACCACATAACAAAAAACAGACATGTGTTGGAAAAAAATGGAGACTATAAAATCTACCTGCCTAAATATTATACTATATTTCTGAGAAGTTTTAGAGCTAATCAGTTTGAGCACTGGTAACTTCCCAAGATGTCCTCTAGGCTTTGGTGCTGATTATGGTCCACCCATGCATTAGGAGTGCAGAATGTCGCCCCAGTCCGTAGAGATTACTCACTGATGCTCTTTCCAAGATATTAAATCCCATTTTGCAGCTACTGAAATAGCAAACTTAGCCATGCTTTTGTGATCTCAGCTCTAGACAAGGCCCCAGTTAGAGTACACTCACAGACCAACGCAGTTAACGAACATGCAGATTTCTTAGAAGAGGGACTGAGATCATTGTGGTCCTTGCGTCCAAGACCGTTTTAGGCCAAGCATTACTTGCATGTTGACCTCTCTGTTTCATTCCCTACCCTGTCTGTTGCAGAGGATGTGAAACCATATCAAGTTAATGGAGTCAACCCTACCTACCCAGAATCCCGTTATACCTCGGATTACTTCATTAGTAAGTTCACCTTCCACTGTTGTTTTCTCATCTTGCTCATCACTGTAATGAGGACTTTGGAAAGGATCCCTGTCCCGGTTGAGCTCAGGCTCCATCATGGTAATTCTAAGGAAAACAATAGTTTCTTAAATGTAGACTATTTGTTATTTATTTTATTTTTCCCACAAAGCACAACGCTTCAACCTATTTACATATTTTACTAACCTGCAAGCTCCTACTTACTAGAATCTCTGTCTGATATCATCAGCATAAAAGTCACAGAGAAACTACATCCTGCTCCATAAACTTTGAGCTTGTGTGATCCTGTGTGCTGTTGAGGCCATAGAAGTTTGGGTTTGAGATCTGGTCGTGTCCCCCGTTCTGTTCCTTTTTCTATTGGATATGACAGCATTTCCTCTGAAATGCTTCCTGAAGAAGTGCCATGTGGCTTCAAATTCTACTTTGGAATATCAAGCCTTCTCTCTTCGAGTATGTGACACCTAACCGTACTGGAGAGGTGGCCAGAGGAAGAGTGTTAGTATAGAGCACTTCTTATCTGATGGTCTTGCTTCCAAAGGGACTTTAAAGCAGGTTTGTTTTTGTTTTATCTTTTCACTCTATTATGGTTTTCATTCTAACAACAACAGTGATATTAACTACTATGTAGCGAGAGTTTATTGTTTGCCAGAAATGTTGGTAGGCATTTTACATATATATTCTCATTTGATTTTCATCACAACACTCTGAGGAGGATTGTAATCGTACCTATTTTAGAAATGAGGAAATTAAGTCAGAAAAGGAGGTATCTTGTCAAGGGCCGTAGCTGTTAAGTAGTGGAGCAAGGTTAAAAACCCAGGCCCTTCTCACTTAAAATATTTTCCTTTTACTCTCAGGTAGTCAGCTTGTTTCACATCGTGGGGCCATCGTAAATAGTGAAGAACTGATTATTTTAGGTACACATCTCTCCTTTCTTCAATTGCACACACTCTCTGTTTCTAGGCTATGGTATCGAGCATGCTCAGTGTGTTCCTCCCTCGGAGTTCTCGGAGCCTAGCTTCATCACAGAGTCCTACCAGACGCTCCATCCCATCAGCTCAGAGGAGCTCCTCTCCCTCAAGTATGAGAACGACTACCCCTCAGTTATTCTTCGGGACCCTCTGCAGACAGACACCTTGCAGACTGACTACTTTGCCATCAAACAAGAAGTTGTGACACCAGACAACATGTGCATGGGGAGGACCAGTCGTGGTAGGTCAGATTTCTTCTCTAGAAACTCTTGGGTTTCCAGGAATTATTTAACTGTGAGCTTTTCAGGTCCCATTTTTGTCCCTCACTGTTGGCCCTGTATATTCCTGAGTTTCAGCCTTTTCACCTTAGAATGTGTAGACATTAAAAACTTTCCATCAGGAAGTTTTAGTCAAGTTCATCAAGATGACAGACCATGAGTCCATGGTGGAATTGAAATTCAGCAGGTTGACCAATCAAATTTTGTACTTGGGTAAAATATTTTACCAAATAAAAACTCTAGTTGAATGTGGTGGTTTTATTAAGGTATGCTTAATTTTTTTGAGAGGATTTTGCTTAAGGGGGACACAATCTAATAAAAATGATTCAGATGACCTGGAGAGCTCTTAGTTTCACACGTGCCCTGATGTTCCCCAGGCCATTTTTGGGTCAGACTGGAGATCTTCCTGCCTGGTATCTTAATGACATCTGTTGCTCAGCCCAGGCTCTCAAGCCTCCTGTGACTTCTTTGGTTTAGGAAGATACAAGAATGGTTAACCAACGGTTTATTTGGAACCAGTCATCAACAGTGTGGTGAAAGTGTGTATTTAGTGAGAGGACCTAGGAAAGAGGTAGCCAGTGGCTTCTAAAAGAAGGTACTCTTGTTGACATGACTATTATGACAATGATAAAATATTCACTAACAGTGAAGTAAATGTTTCAAAATAGAGCTGGTTGACTTTGTAAATCAACAAAGGTCAAATATACCCAAGTTTTAAGATCAGGACATAAACACCCAGAGGGGCAGCCCACATACTAAAGTATGTAGATAGATAGTTTTGCTTCTGAGAGAAGTGCATTCCATCATAAGGAGGGATTTGTGTATCCAGGAAGCACTAGCTGATTTCTATAAAGTCGAAAAAGATGACTGTTGCGGTAGATAAATGGGAAAGAATTACAAACAGGAAGGGGAACAGGAGAAAGCCCATCCAGGGGCTCAGAGGGCTTTGCTCACGGAAGTCAGGCTTGGCCGGCCTCCTAGTGATTTCTGCTTGGTGATCACCCTGTTACTTACTCTGAGGCTCTTGGGGGAGAGCCCAAAGGCATCTTTACTTTGAAGAGTCACCCATTAGCATCATGGGCCGTATACCTTATCATCTTCTTTGAGTGTTCACTCTTCCTCCCACAAGGCCTCTGGACAACCAGCGTGCCCTGCATAGGGAAAGTCCCTAGCAAAATCATAACCTGTAATCTTTCTGCTTCTTGCCCCAGGGTGTTTGTGTTGCAGACTGAAGGGGATGGGTGGGATCAGTTTGCCTTCCCCTTTCTGATTCTTTTTTATTTATTTTTGGATGTGTGTCTATTTACATACACAAGTGTGTATGTGTATCTTTTTTTCTCAGGCGAGGCAGAGCATTAGAACAACTTTCTTTCTCATGGGGCTTTCTGATCATCTGTGTGATGAGGCTGAGCCTGAGGGTTTGGGCCTCAGCCATGTTGTAACTTGGGGTAGATCTGCTGTCACATGTTTTTAAATTGCATCTGGCTTTGCATTTGTATAATTGTCACTTCTCCTTCTCCTTCTCTTCGTTCTTGGCCTTAGTTCTCACCACCTCTTCAACCCCAAATTAATAACTGTGGAGCGGATAGTGACCCGTACAAAGGGACATGAGTTATTTCTCTCTGGGCTCATTCTTCCACTCTCACATCAAGCTTCAGACCACACAAACTTGAGGGGCAGACTGTCCTGTCACAACTGCTTTTTGCATGTTAGAAGTGCTACAAACAGGACATATCTTAAGGGCCGATTGACTCTGACGTGGTATGATTGGTCTAGAATGAAAGCATTACTGTTAGCTGATTAATATCAATAATAATAATAGTGTTCATGTACTTCATTATAGCGCACAGAGTGCTCCTCTGTCCCACCTACTTGGACTCTGAGAACTGCTTAGTGCTCGTCTGTTCAAGCGGTTGCTGGGGGGCTTCCCCATCTGCTATTTGAGTGCTCTGAGGTCTGCTTGGTGGAGTCAGATAGCTTTAGAAGGACCTTGCTGAGACACTTCCCAGGAAAGCTGGCCAGGGGACAGCTTAGTGGGCACGTGCTTCCCTGCATGAGCACAGTAGCACAACTGAATGTCTAATCCAGTTGGATTTGACCCATTTTTGGAGAAAATGCCCGTAAACGAAGGTTCCCAGCTCCAGGATTGTGAAATAGGGGTAAAACGAAAGCAGCTTACTGCTGTACTGCTGTAGACCACAGCTCCCAACGGAGTTGCATTTGGCTCATGTTTGAGAAGCTGCCAGAGGGTGGTTATGCCCAGGTTAGTGCCCTTGCTCTTTGGGATGCCTTGGAAGCACAATAGTCTGCTCGTGGAAATTCCATTTTCTGTGCCCTCCAAATATAAAAGTGGCTGATGGAGATAGAATCATTTCAGAGAGACTTTAGTGTAAATATTGCCTAAATATCATTGACTTGGTGGGGTGTTCTTCATGAAAACATAAATTCTCTTTCTTAGGCTTTTGGTGTGTTTGTCCCACAGAGAAATTGAATGACCATCAATATGGGTAGCTGGTGTGAGTGAATACCTTTGAAGTAGCTGCCAAAAATGTCTTGTTGTGTTAAAAAGTGGCTATTGCATTCTGGCTGTTTTCTGGAGTCTTGTAATGTGAATTTCTGGAAGGGACAATTCCTTCACTTTTTAAATAATAATGAAGAGTTGCGAATGTGACAGTGAACTGGGTAGGCAGGGCTGATAACTCTGTGAAGCTCTTCAGTTTGCCTTCTGGACATTACCCTTCTTTGAATGGACTTTTGGACAAAGGACTAAGAAGCAGCAGATAAATAACTAACTACCTTTCTGTTATAAGCAGTATTGGAGGAATAAGGGGTTCAGGAAATCTACAACAGTAGATTATACAAAAATTACATATTTAACTAAATACCTTTTATCTGAGATTTTAAAAAATTGGAGAGCAACATGTCTCCCTAATTATTATATATTTACTTTTGGTTTGGATACCAATATTAAATATTTGAATTTCATTGTTTTAAACAATCTCTAGCCACTATTAAGAAAGGGGAGAATATACCAAAACCACACTAGTATCTGGTAGTATTGGCCAATCTTATTCTGGGATTTAAATCTTATAGTAGATCAGCTACCCCTGAACAGTTGAGAGTTGATTTATAGATATTTCTACATACAGGTTTGTCACATCCTTTGCCTCATGACTTGTGCTGAGTTGAGGTGGCCATTTAGTCCCCCAGGATTTAGTTTAGGTTACCTAAAAAGTATCCGAAAGTAAAGCATAGAAAATATTCCCATGAGCCTTTTTTAGCTCTTAGATGTATTGTCCTCCAAAATTTTTGTTTGTTAGCCTCCTTTTTAATGGCGCATTTGCCAATGGAATTTCTCTTGGAGCTATTATGCAATGATGGCAGCTGTTTATAACCTGGTTTGGGAAATTAATGAACTTGCATGATCTTGTGGTCAGTTAAGAATGCCTTAAGCAACTCAAAGAGTAAAGGATTTCTGACATTGCTATAGACTTTAACTCTTTCATCAACTCCTTTGTTTTATATTGCCCACACTTCCTCAATGAAGTATAAATTTCAAGAACAAAATTGTACTTGGAAAGAATAATCAGTATTGATTTCTGTTTAGAAGAGTGATTTTTTTTTTTTTTTAATCTCCCGGAAAAAAACATCTCATAACTTCTTTCTCTATTTGAGGTGGTACATGTATTTCATTTTAAAATAGTATTTGGAAAAAAAATGCTGAAAAATAACACTTTAGCTCCAAGGTCAAGGAAGGTCAGTCTGCTCTTAGTCTAATGGAATTTTTTTTTCTTATGACCAAAATATTTTGCCAAATTGGGCCTTTTGAAATCATCTCATTGGGTTAAGTCGGAGTAGGGAATTGAGCCTGACACCGCTCTGATTTCTTCATCTATTCATTAGGTCTAATACATCAGCTAGAAATCCCACAATAACATGTCTGAGTCTTAGTTTTTAGGTTTCTGCCTCTAGGGTTCTTGAGGTCCCAGGCATTGCCATGTCCCTCTGACAGGTATGAGCAGCATTTGACTCTGAATTTCTGCCCCAGGAGCCATAGAACAAGACAGCACCGTTCAGTGGGCTCCCAGATTGAGGGCCACACAGACCCTCTTCCCCAGAGGAAAACCATGAGCTTTCATTCCCACTGGCCTCTCCCTTCTTCCATCTCTCCTGTGGATCTGATGAGCAACCTGTCCTCACTAAGAGGGTTTTTACAGTTGTCTTTTCCCAACCCCTCCTCCCCTGCCCTCTTCCCACCTCCCCCTTTACCTCTAGGTAAACTCGGGGGCCAGGACTCTTTTGAGAGCATAGAGAGCTACGATAGTTGTGACCGCCTCACCCAGTCCTGGAGCAGCCAGTCATCTTTCAACAGCCTGCAGCGCGTTCCCTCCTATGACAGCTTCGACTCCGAGGACTATCCAGCCGCCCTGCCCAACCACAAGCCCAAGGGCACCTTCAAGGACTATGTGCGTGACCGTGCTGACCTCAACAAGGACAAGCCTGTCATTCCTAGGCTACACAGGTAGGCGTCTGCCCCTACCTCTGTAGCCTCTGTGTATGTTGCTGTGGGTGGGCTCAGTGGAAGGCACTGTGTGCACATTCCCAGAGACTGAGGTCTGACTCTTTCTTTTTGTGAATCAAGAGAAGCAGACTCTAAGAGGTCTGCTCAGTCTCTCAAGCCCCTCCATTTGTGAATAGCCATTGATTGTTGGAAGCAAATAGTATCATTCTGTCCCAAGGGATTATTTCCAAAAGTGGTAGGAAAAGCTTAGATTTTAGACTTTTCCCATATTTTGGGGAAGGGAACTACATTCACTTGGTGTTTCTGGAAACTCTGCCTAGTGGCTGAGCATCAAGGGACTTTTTCTCGCCTGCTCTTGGGAGGTCTTTTTAAACACAAAACCAGCAGTAGCATCTCTCGAAACATCACTGAGTGGCCTACACTCTGGACTCTTCTGTAGTG